TTGGGCCGTTGGCTTAAAGCTCAAAGGGAAGCGTATGCAGTCTGCTGCACGTCTTTTTTGCCCTTGTCCAGGGGCTGTGGGTTCGAATCACCGCAAAATGTCAATCATTAACGGAAAGGCTTCTTTGGATTGGACAGTGGGGCTTAGGAAGCAGTGTTAATCTTGACACTAGCGCTTGCTCACACCGAATTGCGCGTCCAAACGGTAGCGCGTGATGTAGCCGCGCCAGGACGACAAAGTGGCAGCATCATTTCGTGTTCTGCCACATCAGCAACTCGTTGCAGTATACTGAACAACCTGGTGTATCGTGCGTCTGGAAGATCCGCTGAAGAATGTGGACAAAGATACAGATGAGTGTCCAAACTCTAACCACAGCGTCGCTCGACTATTTTGCAAGTTGATTCTGCGCAAAACACCGTGTGGGGTTAGGGAAGACGCATATTTTGCTGGACTCAAAGGCCTACCTTGTTGCCGGTCGCTACCGGAATGACAGGAGCGGGTAGCTAATAACACTATGTTTCAGCCTGCATGGAAGGTACCTCTCAGCAAAATTACCCATGCTTCGAAATAGACACAACGATTGCAGGTTATTCAACTAATCCATAGGACCAAGCATGTTAAGTTGTATGTGGCCTCACGTCCGCCTTCCAAGCTGGTGGTGTATTTGCAACTACTAACTTGATGACCTACGTTTTACGAATCCTTCCTTCATCTTCGCCAACGCAGTCTCGCGGGTCGCGGTAGATGTCTTGTCCGGGGAAGATACCGGGGTTGGTCCCGATCATGAATGAAGCCCACCAAGCCTGCATGGGATCAGCAGCTAGGCTGCTCGGCACTTTGCTCAACCCCGCACATTATACCTTGTTTCTCAGCTGGCACACCCCTTAAATTTCGGTTTCGACTACATGGGTCTCTTGAGGCCTAATCAGGGGCTTGACAGAGTCTTCATGATTTCCTCCCAGAATGCCATGCTCACGTTCATAGGTAGGGCCATGCGCTCCTCCTACCATTGTCGGGAGAAGTCCCGGGGTTCTTTGATTAGATAATGAGTCCCTATCATTTCTCGGAATCACAGGAAAAGCAGAGCATGAAGGGGATGAAACAGATATAATCTATATGATGGCCTAGAGCCTTCTCAAACCTTTGTTCATGGACTTCATCCCACTCTGCTCTGTTAATCTCTGGTCCGAGTAACCGAAAAGCTGTTTCAAACTCTTTGGAGACAATATGAAATTCAGCACCTTTCAGAATCAACTCTTTGCCCTCTCAGGATCGCTATTATGGGCATTCCAAGCGAGCGCAGGGTGCTCGAATTCTACACACAAGCCTTTCAAGCACCCAGGACTGTTACATACTGCCAATGACTTTGATCGCATTGCAGGTTTTCTCGACGCCAACAAGGAGCCATGGACCACCGGTCGGAACAAGCTCGCGACTCGTGCCAACGCCGGCTATACCCCGAGCCCTAAGGAGACCGTGTGCCGCGGCGGTGCTGGTCGTGAATGCAATCCGGAAAACTACGCCTCTCTCTTCCGCGACGCAGCTGCTGCATACGCCAATGCCGTCTATTGGAAGATCACCGGCGATGAAGCGCACGCAAACGCATCCGCAAATATCCTTGACGTTTGGAGCAGCTCGCTCAAGTACATCAATGGTTCTTCAGACAGGTACCTCGCAAGCGGCATCTATGGCTACCAACTCGCCAACGCGGCCGAGATACTTCGGGAATGGAAAGCGTGGGATGGTCTTACTGCGGTGATCGATATGCTTGAGAGTATCTTCTACCCTATGAACCACAATTTTCTCATCAACCACAACGGCGCTGTCATCGACCACTATTGGGCAAATTGGGACCTAGCGAACATGTGTACAATGCAGGCTATTGGAATCCTCTCAGACAACAGAACCATGTACAACGAGGCGGTCAACTACTTCAAGAACGGAGCAGGCAATGGGGCCATCGAGATTGCTGTGTGGGAGTTGCATAACGAGCCAGGCTCGGATAAGATTCTTGGTCAGGGACAGGAAGCTGGGCGTGATCAGGGTCATGCTCTGCTGGACTTCGCTTTTCTGGGTGTATTTGCTCAGCAATCGTACAACCAAGGTGATGACCTGTTCTCTTATCTTGACAACAGAATTCTTGCGGGGTAAGTGTTGTCTGCCAGCAGTAACATTGAACACGACTGACGAGTAGCCAAGCGCTGAATATGTTGCAAAATACAACCTCGGACACGACGTTCCCTTTACGAATTTCACCAATAGCCACGGTACCGCGACGGTCGTCAGTGATATTGGTCGAGGGCAATTTCGGCCCATTTGGGAGCTTCTCTACGCTCATTACGGTGTAATCAAGGGTCTGAATGCTTCTTGGACTGAGCAGATGCGAGACCTCGTGGTTGAGAATGCCGGAGGGGCGGAAGGTGGCGGGGGAGACTACGGCCCAAACAGCGGCGGATACGACCAGTTGGGATTTGGAACTCTTCTTTACAGACTCGAATAGAGTTCGCGTAGTGGTTTTTCTTCTGCCAAATTATGTGGTCTTTATCATTTATTTTCTTCTTATCATTTTGCTAGCTTGGCAGCCGCAGAACTGGATTACGACTTTGGTTTCTATCGCCTGGGTGGTACTACATGTCCTCTTGTCGAAGCCGTTCTGTTACCCCTTCGAATAACTTTGATTTCATACTGCAATCCAGTAATCGATCATTCTTCAAGTCAAACTAAGAATAGCAAGTCTCTAGATTTTGTGGTGGTCCATTTCCCCGGTTAAATGCATGTGCCTTGCATCTAGGCTTAGATATATACTGCCGGATTTCTTGTGTAGTCTACAAACACTAGCTTCAGTTGTGAAAGGAAGATAGTTAGAACCGCATTTCTGACAAAAGAAGATTCTCAAAATGACGGACTTTGTTTATATAATCTATCATCACGGGTACCTAGTAAGCCCAGATCAAGCCCCCCCAGCTTGGATGGTCTGACCCCGTGAGTCGACCCTCAGGCCCAACAGTCTGCTTCGCCTTGGTTGTCCATGGTGCATCCAACTTCTTCTTCACAGCATATTGGTAGTAAAGAATGTCCCACATCGGGTTCGATGCCGTGACGCCGCGCTTGTCTTGGGAGATAGTGGCCCAAGGCCCATTAACAAGTACCGCCTCACAGCGAAACCATTTCGGGTCATACGTCACTGTCTGATTCAGATTAAACTTAGCCGTGTACTCGCCACCCTTCAGGAGCAAGTTATCCCCCTGGCTGTAGAGATCGGAGCCTTGACTTTGGGCCACGCGTGCGGCCTGGGCTGCCCAGCCGATGCCTGTCATAGCATGGCCTCTTTGGTGTTAGACCCGAGTATTCAAAAGTGATAGCTGAGGCATCGTAGACTTACTCTGGTCACGTCCAGACTCGGAGTTCTGGCCCGTCTCAGGCTCAAACATAGAGTACAGCCCAGCACAAGGATTGTTGAGGTATTCGTTGATCGCGTAGTTGTAAAGAGTGACATCGTCCAGATAAACCGCAAAGCTGAGAAGAGCTTTAATACTAGCCATGCCGTAATTGGCCTGACCAATAGGGATTGACTGCCGCGAAAAGAGCCAATAGAGCTGGATACTGAACCCAGACCCGCCCTGCCAGCGTGCTCCGGCTTCTGTCCACTTCCCCTCCCAGCGCATGATCTCTGCAGCATTGACGAAGAGGTCACCCTCTAGCCCGATGAGGAGCGACCGATCGGTGCCGATGATGTCGACCAAGGTGGAGCCCCAGCTGTCCAAGATGGTCGTACTGCGGTTCCAGTGCGCATCGTCGCGGGTGATGTACCACATGAGCGCATTCTGCCACGCGGCACGGGAATCAGAGGTGAACGAAGAGTAGTTGCTGACGCTGCCCCGTGAAATTACGGTCTTCGGCCCCTTCATCTCGTAGGTTGCTTGGCTGTAGCTGTCTTTGCTGAAGGCCTCATAAGTCGACGCCCAAGGGTCTTTCCCCTCGAGGACCCCATTGCGGATGCGCTCGAGATCGTCGTGAGTGTGCCAAATGCCAGGGTGTACAAAGTCACTGGGGCGGCTCTTGAGATACTTGGAGATGTCGCCTGCCGGTGACGCGGGCATGAGCGGATAGACTGGGCCGAAGACTCCTGGAATGTCGGCCACGGTTGCAAGGCATGGCTGGGCCAGAAGAAGGGCCAGTGGCAGATGCGAAAGTGGCAGAGTGCGCTGCTTGATATTAGCATTGGAAACAAATCCTACGAAAGGAGACTAGCACTGTTCACCTTCATTACGCGAAACCGACAGAACCGATAAGCGGAAACTAGTGATGCCGAATTTTTTATTTTTTTTACGTATGCTTCAGATCGCAAATACTCTCACGTCACTGCACACTCGTACGTGGCCATAAAGGCTTTCATAGTGTCGAGTTTGTGTCTAACTAAGCTCTATCATTGTCGGGGCCGGGGGAGGTTGCGGGCCGGAAATGCAACGGTAAAGTTGGCGACCTGAGCCTATCCTCGAAATAGAATCAAACCCGGAGGCAACCGAAGAGTAGGAAAATGCGGGGTGCTTCTGCGGGGAAAGATGTCCGCCATTCTGTTAATTGAGAGGGTGGCAATCTCGAAGCGAGCTGTGTGCACTGAATCTCGTCGTGAGAACTATCGTTGGCGGGGTATCTATCGGAGTAGGTTCCAACGCCCCGAAATTAGTCAGTCTTGGACATCGGGAGCCCTCACACATGTGGTTAAGAGCGCCGCGTTTCCAGTCCAGGAGCCATTTGGTCTGACTGCAAGTCGGTATCTGGGGAATATTGGCCAAATAACACGGCCCGTTCATGTTACAATGTTCGTGCATCATGCAGCACGAGCATCGAATTACCAAAGTGACCTATGACCTGAGGTTCTAACGGAGATGTCGCGATATGGAAGTAAAATGCATGAGTCATTAACAGTGAGTGTGGGGGTCCCTTGGGCAAGCGAGATATAAGGGCTAGTTGTGGCTCGTGCTATCAGCAATAACAGCGGTTGTGTAGTGTAGTGGTAATCACTCCGGATTTTGATAACATCAAAATCTTACATTCCGGCAACCCCGGTTCGAACCCGGGCACGACCTCATGTTTTTGGCTTTTTCCAAACTTGTCCCATGAGGGATTATGAAGGGGGGTTTTTTTTTCCTTTCTCCTTGTTTCTTTTTTTCCCGAATCCGGTTTCCCCCCACCAAAAGCTGCCTACTCGGCGGCTGTCTATCTCCAAGTGTATCTACAACAGCTTGAACTCATCATACCAATGCAATGCAAACAGACAAGAAGCATTGCCATGCCATTAAAATCAAAATTTGTTTCGTTCTGACCGATGTTGACTTCGCGCAAATGGTATTGAAGTCCTGCAGCCAATCGCTGCTAGGTTTACAAGTTTGTCTGTACTCTCAGTGCCCAGTCTCTCGCTGAATTCATCTCGTGGCCAAACATCTCCATGTGTGGTCGCACTCTAACATGCCGGAAATACTAAACTAACCTATACCTTGTCCGCTGCATCTGATGTTTCCATCTCAACATGTACCACTTCATCTTTTTCGACACTCCTTGTAGGGTTGAGTCCCGGGCCATCAAATATAGTGGCTATTTCTTCCAGAGACGGACCCTTGGTCTCCGGGTAAACGAAATAAAGGACGACAAACTCGACCACCACCCAGGGGATGAAGACGGTGTAAAATTTCCATGCCATACTCTCAAGGCCAACGGGAACGGCGTACGTCGAAATGAGTGTAAAGCAGGTTGAGAAAAGTTGGAAACAAGCTTGGCCACGCATACGAAGGCTGTATGGAAGAATTTCGGTAATGTACAGAACCATGTTCCCGTTGAGACCCAGATTGTAAGATGGGGAGAAAAGATAAAGAAACGCCACTACAGCCCCCCGGCAGCTTTGTTGGAGCTATCTTTTGCAAAGACGGCACTGCCAGCCGTGATACTGACCAAGCAGATGAAAATGGCAGCCAAAGAGCTGAGGAAGAGCGTTTTGCGACCAAGCTTCTCGGGTAACGTCGCGAAATACATGGCTGAAATCCAGGAGAGAACTTGCTGTGTAGCATTGATGAGGGTTTGCTCAAGAGAAGACGTTAGGCCCACGGACGAAAGAACCGGCGCGAGGTAGTACGAGACAAAGGCATTTCCAGACATCTGGGCAATGCAAGAGGTCCACAGAAGGATGAACATGCGCTTGCGGTTTCCCGGTGTTCGGACCAACTCCAAGTAGTTCTGAAGCCAGCTACCGCGATCGATAGTGCGTTCATATGCCAGGGCACTTCGAATTTCCTCGTATTCGAACTGGACAAGTTCATCATGTTCGTTGCCTTCCGCGTGGTATTTGGCCAAGAAAGCCAGTGCCTCCTCATTGCGATCCTTGGAGGCAAGCCAACGCGGGCTTTCGGGAACGAAAAGGAGACCGAGGAGCTGTATGACTGATGGAAGACCTTGGAGAGCAGAAGGAATGCGCCACGACGCTGTCGATTCTATTCGAAATGTGCCAAAAGTAGTCCAAGCAGCGACGATGGCACCGAGAGAGTATGATGTATTGAACAACGCCGTTGCCGTAGCTCTGTGGGCGGGATGCGCTATCTCGGTAATCAGAGGAGCGCCAGAAGAGCCCAAAAACACAGTGCCGCACCCGAGAACGCCACGGGCCACGACAAACATGGCAAGGCTCTGGGCCGCAGCTTGGAGTGTGGCGCCGAGAATACATAGGGTGGCACCGCAGGCGAGACCAGCCCTGCGCCCGAAGGTGTCGCTGATGATGGAGATGAAAGGTATGGCACAGAGACCACCGATGGGATAGGCAGCGTTGAACAGTCCAAGAGTAGCGCCTTTCGGTTCTCCAAAATATCCTCGCCAATTTTCAACAGATTGAAGACCGTTCATCATAGACCCGTCAAAACTACGACAGCACAAGATCAGTACAGATTGGGGTAAAACCTGGGAGTTCGCCTTACCCTTGCGTGAAAATAGAGAGCATAGGGAAAATGAGCAGCAGGTTCAGGGTCCGAAGGTTCTTAGATCTCCACCAGTGCTTGGTGTCAACTATGCTGTCGGGCATAGCCGAAGCAAGTGGTGTTGATTTGTCGTTGCCGAGCTTCATGGTGGAAAAGATCGGCCTGTTCGATAATGGGGCGCCGTTTCGACGTTGTCAATAAAACTATGATCGGTTGGTTAAAGATACGTGAGACGTTCCATGCAAGAACGGCAGAGACAAGCAGAGCGAGTCGCTGCTCAGATTTTATAACAGAATGGACCCGGAGATCGTGAACATAGGTTCGCAAACGACATGTGATGGTTTGCAAAAGTAAACTGTTTGCCAAGACCAATCGATTGAGTTGCGAAAGAATTCCCCATGGAGACCCTCACGATCCGGGGTACAGGGTCATGCGGGGAGGGAAATCTCTCGCGACATCGTTTGGATGGTGCGCAAGTCAGAAGTCTGGAGGTTGAGCTATTACCGAGCAGGCATACACCGGCCGCGGAAAGCCGGATGCGAGTGTTGGAAATTAATTTCGGTCAGATGCCGACCGCGGAAAGCCGGGTAGCTTATTTGATGATGAATACGCGTAAAGAAGGGACGCGGAAAGCCGGATCACACTATGGCACATCTTGTTAGCGCCAGCTAGACAAAAGTCTAGACTCAAGGTGATCATACCGGCTGGGAAGGATCGGCATTGCACATACACAACAGCTCGTTTTCCAGACTTCTGACTCCCAGAATAGTCGAGTGAACCGCACTTTACGCCTGTATTTGCCAGTTGTTTTCAATATGTTGTGGTTGTGGTCGAAACAATGAGTAAGTCATTCGTGCAGATATTGCCTGGCAGGAAGGGTTGCAACTGGCTGCATTGGAAATTCAAGTGATGTTCCCGTCGTTTTCATAATCAAAACTAGTCTAGTCGAAATTCAATGCATATGGCTCGCAATAGGTACTCCTCAATGGGACGGCCAGGTAGGGCCACGCATATCCTGATAGGATCAGTATGCGGCACGTCTTCCAAAGATACTGACAGACGTCCAACAGTTGAACCATCGTCCCGGGACCATGTGATGCGAGCTACACCTGGTGCTAGAGCTCCGCCAAGAGCTACTTTGGCATTAAAGGAACGGAAAAGTTTGACTCGAGGCGCACACGTGATTGCCGCCCATCCAGGCTCCAGAGGACGGACTCCAGCCACCTCGGCCATGAACTCGTACAGCGGAACTGAACTCCATGCGTGGCAGTCAGATCGGAGAGTCACGTCATCTTCACACCACGTAGACAGGTTCTGAGCTAACTGAACTCGCCAAGGATCCCAGAAGGAATGAAATCCCTTGTCGTAAAGATCCCCGCCGGCCGTGGACAGTGCACGGAGAGCGTAGAATGACATCGCCGTGGAGACCTTGGTGAACTTGGGGGTTTGAGTGGAGTTGATAGACTCGCAGGAGTCGCTTACTTCATTAAAGAGGGAACGACCGAGCAAGGCCCTCGCGTCGTCGCCGCCTATGGCACCACAGAGAACGGCCCAGATTTGGTTGTGCTGACTGAAGTCCCGCGCATGATCAGCTGCGGCTGCCACGCCGTCGGTGAAGGCATTATGGGACCAACAATGCTTTCGGGTCGCTTGGACTATCTCGTGAGCCCGCAACCTGTACTCCGCGGCAAGGCCGGGGCGGCCGAGGTGTGAGACCGTTTCGGCAATCATTTGGAGTGTGTAGGCGTAAAGAAAAGTGGTAAATGTTTGGGTGCCTGTTCGTTGAGCAGCTGTCGGGATGCCCATGGGACGCCATTCGTCCGTCCAGTCAACAAAGTCCCAGTGCGTGCGGATCGCATTGAGATTGGATGCAATAAGCCCCGTGTCGGGATCCAGCCGCCTAGAGAACGAATCAAGAATACCATCGCATGTCGAAAGGAAAGCGCGGGTAAACGGCCCGTCGCCGTAATGCAGATAGTGGTCCGCAACGGTGCACACCCAAAAGAGTGAAAAATTAGGAATGACCTGACGTTGATGGGACGGGCAGCGACTGGCAAGGAGTCCAAGACCTGGGTGGTACGAGTTGTGAAGCTGGACAATGGCTTGTCGAGCCATCCGATCGTCACCTGAAGAGGCATACGTGAAAAGGCACGAGCTGCGAACGTCCATGGCATATTGCAGCTGTTCATAAAACGGGCAGTCCTCGTAACAGTCATGCATGCAGTTCGTGAGGGTGCGGACGCTGGTTTCCCACAAGGCCTTGTATGTTACTTGGTGCTCGGTGGGAAACGGGATGTCGAATTCGCTCCGGATGACCAATGGGTAATGAAACTCGTCGATGTTGATGGCGACTACTTCAAGATCGCTTTCCCGCGCAACTTCGATATCGATTGATATGTAGCGCAGAGTGCGGAAGTGGAATGGAGAAAATTCTTCAAAAACGGTTGCATCTGGCTGGTACGCCAAGTCGGCATTGCCCTGAGCTCCAAGGCCACCTGCAAACACGTATCTGTCCTCTGGGCCATAAAGGGTTTTGGTCAAGTCTCTCCTATCACCTTTACGGCGAATGTAAGGGATGAACTCAGGTTCATCTTCGTATGCTTCGGAATAACGAACACGGAGCATACTGCCGTTATGGTTGGGACGTCGGAAGCGGAACGAAACATGTGCTGTTAAGTGATGCTCCACCTCGACCTCAATATGATGAGAGGTTCCAGCTGGCAGTAGGAGGGGACTTGACTGTCCAAGCACGAGCTGCTCCCAATCTGCACGAGGGATAGGGCTTTGGATATTGTGAATGGCGATAGGATGGACAGGAACAGATTCTGGCGTCGGTATCATCCGTGGCGACAAGATCCATGGTGGCGATATGCCATGCGATGTCGGCAGGTCCAAAGGCTTTGCGGGTACCCAATGAAGCAGGGATATTTTGGAGGCATTGACATCTTCGTACATGTGTAGAAAGTCGTCCTCCTTCTGGTCAACTCGCAAAAGAGTCGTATGATCGATCGCGCATTCCCACGAGGCGTCGCTTTGCAGGGAAACGGCAACGCAGCCTTGTGAAGTCGGAGTGCGGACAAAGAGACCGGGGATAGAGAGTCGGGGGAAGCTCGTTGCGAATGGGGTCGCA